CCTATAGGCTATAAGCCGTATTGCACGATGTCTAAAATAATAATAATTGTTTAGTTGACTTGCAATAATTGCTGCAGCACAATCATAATATATGTATTGGCTGGGTGTCAAGCCGATTAGAATAAACGTAGAAAATAATGCCGAAAAGTGACGTGACACAATTATTATAATTATAGGTATACATATATCATGGGATAAAAACCTAAACAGCTTTAGCATATCGTTAAAACATATAGGTAGGCACAAACAGTGTTTGAGATTTGGGGGAAGATGAAGCTTACATTGAATACTTTATTGGTACTTATAATGTAGTGTACCTATAGATTACGACATTAGTTTTAGGGGAGGGCTATTCAAAGTATAGGGAGCTTAGCCCCCCCCAGCCAACCTTATTTACGCCTATGCGTTGAGATACCGTATGCAATATGTATCGGGATTGTAGAACCTGTTACACAAAAGGTGAGAATTTTCAATGCTTTTTGAATTTAACCCTATACTCTATAGCAATATATATAGTGCATCAGGAGAGTTAGTCAAATAATAAGTTCCAGTTAAAATATTTTATAAGTATATCTTAATTAAATATTATATATGCTAAATAGTGAGCCCAATATAGCTGTCGCACTCAAGAGCCAGAGAATTAGATGGACAGGACACGTCTGGAGWGCAGAAGGCGAACTTACACTGGCAATCACGAAATGGAAACTGAACAGAAGTCGACCGAGAGAAAGGCGTCTAGGCAACGATGGGAGGACCTAGTCAAAGAAGACCTCAGTTGTTGAGATTTATGAACGGAAAAGAATTGGCAGAACATAGAGAAGCATGGGGGAGATATAGTAGAAGCGGCGATGAGCCTTAATGGCCTAGAATAAGCTTTAAAAAAAATATGGTAAATAGTTTAACGAAAGACTTACGATCATATTAATCATATTATATAGTCATCYGGAGTTTCCCGGTGTGACATTGCGCAAAATGATTGAACTTGGCATACCTAGTGTGTATCGTGTAATATAAATATTATTTATAAGTACCTACCTATATATAATATGTATGTTTTAACCTAATTTACATTATTTTTAAACTTTATTGTAAAAATCTCTTATGTACATAACTATTTAATCTAATTGTAAACTAATAACCACTATGTTGACGCTGTAACAATAAAAATAATAATATGTATGTGTGACGTGTGTACCTTGTACCTAGACGGCTGACTATATAAATATTTAATAATATGTCTAGTAAGCATTATTCCTTATTGGTACCTATAATTTATGTTTATGGTTTGTAACGTCGTATCACACATTTGTGATCCGTTACTGTATAATATAACATGGTGGTCATCCAATAATAACGATTTCAATACTAAAAAAATAGAACRCGGATACGYACAACAATCACAACTATTGTGAAATGCTTAAAGCATTGAGAAAAATATAATATTATCCTTTTACTGCGACGTGGTAACTATAATTATTYATCCTATGTCTTATATACAAGACTATCTATTATTAATAAAATATAGTATTTACTAATTAGTATATAAGGAAAGACTTACGAGTATTACATATAGTCATCCGGAGTTTCTGTTAGTGTGTGCTGTTGGCTCAAAACTATTTGACTTGACATGATACCTGATTACGATGGTGCAGAGTACCTTAATATAACAGAGTGTCAATTGACACAATAGTACGTGAGTATACACAGATGACGATAATATGTCTATATAGTAAGCATTATTTTTTATTATTTATATTATTACCTAAAGTTTATGTTTTATGTACATGGTTTGCAATGGTGTTACAAATATCAGTGATGGCATATGATCCGTTGGTCGTTACAGTATAATAAAATATACATAATTGTTTTGGTCATCCGATAATAACGATTGCAAAATACTAAAATAGAACACGAATGACTATCATACTAAAAGAACAACTTTTGAGATGAGCTGCCAATAAATATAATATCGTCTTTTAACACGATGATCATTTTACAACTTGTGACGCTTCTGTAGTTCTATGACTTTTTTTAGCAATGTCACCAGACGTTAACGCGGYATTCGTCAAGATTAAAATATGGTTACCAGATCGGAGCTGGTAGCTCGTAGTTCCATACTTCCATGATATTATAGGGTGGTCACACTGTTCGCGGTGCATAGAAAAACCATAGATAATGCATGTATTATCTATGAGAAAAACGTGTCCACGTCGAGAGCTTGGTGAATTTGGATCGTTTAAAGCGAAACGTACAACGTTCTTGAGGTAGGTGTTTTGCTGTGAGGCTTATTAATTTTCATC